TGAGCGCATGCGCTGCACACACAAACTAGCAATACACACACCCACACACGTGTACGCAAAAGCACACGCACTCAAAGAAAATGAAACAAACACAAACAAACAGACTCAAGCCCATGCGCACACACGCGCTCACACCCACACACACGCACACGACCAGGCACGCACGCGCACAAACACATGCGTACACAAAGGCACACACATAGGCATGCGCTGCAACACTCGCGCAAATATGCTCATAAAAAAAAATAAAACTCAAAACCTAGCGCGTGTGAACACACACACACACCACCGCACGCATGCATTCCACCCATGCATGCGTTTGGGCAGTAGCCGTCCTCCTCCTTGCTGAAGAAGACCAAACTGGGCTTGATCATCTCCTCAAAGGCTGCCTTGATCGCGCTCCATCTCGTGGCAGCCAGCCCAGCTTTCGGCCGAGGCCGGCGAGCAAACGACTTTGTCTGCGCCGGATCATTGCCTGGCTCACTGCCTGGCGGCACGCCCTGCTTGGCCTTGCGCTCCGTCTTGGACTTGGGCTTTGCAGCAGGAGGCTCTGTTTGCGCCGCCTTCTTGGGCTTCTTCTTGCCCTTCTGATCCTTCACGTCGACCGTGGCCTCAACCTCTTGGTCAACCGCGGCCTTCACGTCGTCCTGGTCGACCATGTTGGGAACGGCAGTCTGCTCCGTGGACATCGGCGCGGGCTCCATCTCCATGTCCTTGCTGGATTTCTTCTTGAGCAGCCTCTTCTTCAAAGTCTTCTTGAAGGATGGCATCCTGGACAAGTTTGACGAGGCTGACTCCGCCATGACCTTGGATTCTGGCACGCTCTGCCTCCCCTTCTGGGTGGAGGACCTAGATGCTCGCTTCCTCTTCTTCGTCATCTCCTGCTTGGGCGGCGTCACGCATGCCTCCTGTTGCTGCTCCTCACCGCTTTCCACGGCCTTCTTCTGCAGAGCTCGCTTGGGAGTCTTGCGCTCCTTCGTGAGCTTAGCTAGCTCCACCTGGTCCTTGGCTGCCTTCTTTGCAGCAGCACGCTTTGCCGCCGGCTTTTTCGTAGGAACTGCCTCGCCCGCCTGGTCATCCGCCTCGTCAGCTCCAGCCCGGAGCTGGGCTTTCAAGCCCAGTTGCTGGCGACGTAGCACCTGAGACTGTCAATTTGCCAGCACAGGTTGAGCCATGTCAAACTGTTGACTTCAGTCAGGACACCCTTTGACAAAAACAAAGAGTAGGAAACGCAACGCGGAACTTCATCAGTCAGCCCAGGGCGCCATCTTTCCACCAAGAGCTTCCTCAGGATCCGGAAAGCGAGCAGCAAAGCGCTTAGCAGCCTCCTCGGAGTTGTCATAGGGCTGCGTCTCCATGCCATCACCACCGTAGGGCAGCGAGTCCTCAATCAGCATCACGTCATTGTCGAACGTAGAGGCGGCGGCGCCGCGGCCGCTGCTGCTAGAAGCATCAACTGCAGCACGTGCCTTCCTCACATGATTGAACTCACGCCCACACTTTTTGGTCAATCTTCTAGCCAACTGCTACCCCTCACCGCCATGACAAGTTAAGTGTTCTAGGCAAGCATCATGGCAGTGCCCTTCCGCTTGAGCTGCGCGATCTGGTCTTTCAAGAATCGGATCTTGTCCTTCTGTTCGGAGTTGTCGACAAAGCCCTTTTTGAGCTCGTCCTTAGCAAGGCCCCCAGCGTCCTTCTGCACCGCCGCGCCAAACACCTCTCCCTCGTCCTCCACCAACTGCTCAATCACAGCCTGCTCAGCCGCTTGCTTATCCGCCGGCTTGTCACCCGCCATCTGCTCGTTCGCTGCTGCGCCATCCAGCGGGTCTACAACATCATCCCGCAGGAGCTCTGCTTGGGAAGCTTCAACATCGTGCTGAAGGAGCTGAGTTTGGGAAGCTTGAACATCATGCTGAAGGAGCTGAGTTTGGGAAGATTCCACATCATGCTGAAGGAGGTGAGTTTGGGAAGATTCCACATCGTGCTGAAGGAGCTGAGTTTGGGAATCTACACGGTGCAAACCAGGGCCCTGAGGCGCCTCGTCTTCCTCAGAGTCCGGCAGCTCAACCACCTCGCCACCGCTGCTACCGCCCTCCTCCTGCAAGCACGCGACCCAGCCATGGTCCTGGGAGTCATTCTCGTCTTCTGAGTCCTCAAGGTCGCTGACGGTGACCGCATCGATAAGACTTGGCTCCTGCGTGTCCGACTCCTGTTTCTCCTCCATCTCCTGCCAGGGCTATCGTCCAGTGTAATTGCTCCCGCTTGCGCACCGAGAGCATACACGCACGCACCCAAACACACACACGCAGAAACACACACACACACAAACAAACAAAGCACAAACAGCACACAGCACACACACAGACACACACACACACACACATGTGCACGTGCAGAAAGCACGCAAACACACGCACACACACACAAACACCCACACACACAAACACCCACAGACACACACACACACACAAACACACACACAAACAAACAAACAAACAAACAAACAACCAACCAACCAACCAACCCAACAAACAAAACAAACAAACAAAACAAACAAACAAAACAAACAAGCAAGCAAACAAACAAACAAACAAACAAACAAACAAACCAACAAACAAATAAACAAACACACACATACACACGCAAACTTGTGCAAGCAGGCTCAAACAATGAGACATACGTACATGCAGAAACACGCACACAGAACACACACACACACAGCCAAAGACACACACACACACATAGACACGCACGCACACACGCAAATAGAAATAGGAATGCACACGCACACACACACACACCAACACACGTCATGCACGTGCATTTGCAAGCATGTTTTGTGGTGATACCTCTTATTTTGTGGCCCCATTCATCAACCCCCCCCAGTCCGGCTCCAAAGCGGCTAGAAGAAGTCGAAACTTCTGCGAGCGGCTGATTTGTTGCCGCTGCAACTTCCGCTTGACAAGCACGCAGAATTTCTTCAAGCACCACGCATCTTGTTTCACCTGGCTCTTCTTAGGCTGAGCGGCGCGGTCAACGAGGCGGTGCACCGCCCGGATCCTCAGCGCTTGCCGAAAAAAACTGGGGTATCGGTCAACAAGAGCTAGGGGAGTCTAGAACCGCGCTAGCTTTTTACACATCAGGAATTCCGTACAACCGTGAACCCAACCTTGGTTTCCTGAGAACATGTTTGATCCACAAGCTAGGGTGCTGCCGCTCCAGATGCTCAACCTTAAACATCTTCATGCTGCCATCATCACCCGGCAGCCGGCGAACGCATGGTAGCAAAAGCTCATAGTTCAGCTCGACTGACTTGATGGTGATGGCCCCAACAGAGTCCTCATCCTGCCACACAAACAAAGAGCCAGACTCCCTCAGCCGAGAGCGGGCGTCGCTGATGTTCTCCCAATCATCACTGAGACCGGCCAGCCGGGAGTCCATGGTGCTGGGGGCACTGCTACGTACAACTATGGGTCACTTGAGCTCAAGCCTTGAACACGCATTTTGCTTGATGGCATCCAACCAGGATAGAACAAGCTTTCCCGTCACTTACGTAGGGAGATGAATTGTGAAGATTTGCTTTGGGAAAGGGCTTGTTGATGATCCAACAACGGATGCGGTTTACAACGCAGTAGCTCAGCTGTTCCAAGATACACTTGGGAACCCATCCAAGAAAGCATGTGGAAGTTTGCGCAAAGCTTCCACTGCGCCGACAGTCCCGGTGGCTGAGGTTCCCGACCTGTGACACCGTCTCAGGGTGTCCAACACCGCGAGCGCATGTGTGCGGATGGCAAAAGTCTGTGCGCCAGCTGTGGGAGATAACCCTGTAAGGCTTACCTTTCCGACCCTGACTGCCTGGGAAGGTGTTAAATTGAGAAAATATGCTTTTCCAAAGGGCTACTTAGCCCAAACTCTGACAGTCGCAGCCCTGCGTTTAGCCGGAATGCAAGCATCCAAGAGGCCTGAGGCAGGAGGCGGCGCATGCACCAAAAGACGCCCCTTTTCCACAAATCAGTGCCTTACGCACAAAAACCCGGTTTTTTTGAAAGGCCTACAAAAATAGAGGTCAAACAGGCTGAAGGTATATACTGTATATATATATATATATTGTGTAGGCTTACGTCTGGCGCGTTTATTTGGATTCTGCGTCTCGGGCCCTTTGCCCGACGAGCTCCTTGCGTAACCCGCAGGCCAATCAATGCTGGGAAGCGCTCGGCGAACATTTCAGACCGAGTCAGCCGCGTAACACTGCAATGGACCCTGAGCAGTCGGCTACAGCAGCGCTGGCCGCATCCCTGGCGCAGGAGGCATCGTGCCTGCCCGCCGGCCCGGCTTCAGGGCGGATGATCCAACCCTTTGTTGCGATCTGTCCTCCGCGTCTCGCCCGTTCTGCAAGGCCACAAGCAGAGCAAGTTCATCAAGAATCGAGGCTAGGCCTTCCTGGCTGAGGAGAGAAAAAGCAGCGCGGGGAATAGGACGCAGCCGCAGCGGTTGAGAATGTCCTTTGCACGACGAGTGAAAAGGAAGCTAATTACCAAGATCGCGGAAGAGCAGACAAACTTTGCCTGAACCGGTCCTTCACGAGGCGGATGGACGATGACAGAGGCGGTCCGGATACTGCAAGGACAAAAAAAAGAATCTGGATGGCCCCGAACAGAAGCTTTCAGTGCAGGCCGTTCGAGCATGCTAAGGAGAAGGCGATCCCCATTTGCAAGCAGCGGCGAAGGGACGTTAATGCAGGAGCGGAGAAGCTCGCTTCTCGCGGGACCTAGCCAGCTTCCGGCCCTACCAGCAACAGCCCCAATGCCTCTTACTTGCCGTGTCCCGAGTTTGATTTTCTGGGGAACAATATCTCGGAGCTGCCCCAGACCAGCTGCGGCGGCAAAAACACAACAAACCAGTCCAAAGTTACAAGATAATCATAATCCCCCCAAAAGCCGGGAGCCGCTCCGAACCAGCCTTTCAGATGTGGAAAAACGTTAGTGAGTCAGCCAAGGCTC